TGGCATGTGGTGCTGGGGGATTGAACCGCGGTCCCTGTGCTTTGCTAAGCTTGTTCTCAGTAGGTGCTTTAGACCACTGAGCCATCTCACCAGCCCTATTTGTACTCTTTGAAATGATCTTCCCAGCCTCAAATCAAAAATAAAAGGGCTGGGAGGTAGCTTAGTCCCCCGGGCGGGGGATCATAAATGTATATAATTTATACCAAAATTTGACTGAAGTCCTGCCTGGGAGCCTAACCTTTACTTTACCAAAGATGGGAGCACAGGGCCTTGCCAAGTCCCCCGCAGGGGGCCTTGAAGGGTCCCAAAAGTGTAATGTGCTCCAGATGGAAAGGTGGAGCCCCTAAACAATAAGGTGAAAAACAGCCCAATTTAAAATTGGCAAAAGTCTTGAACAGGCCCAGTTCCCAGCAGACACAGACGGCCACAGGCACACAACAATATGCCTGGCACCCCTCAGGGTCGGGAAGCAGGGCCACAGGAAGCCAGGTACAGCAGGCAAGCTGCTCAGGAGGCTGGGGCAGGAGGACTGGGAGCCTGGGCAAGTCAGCAAGCTCACAAGACCTGTCCCAAAGTGAAAGACAAAAAGGGCCAGGGATGGAGTCCAGGGTGAACGCTTACGCGGTGTGCTCTAAGCCCAGATTCCAGCCCTAGCCAAAAAAAAAAAAAAAAAAGTCTTAAGCAGCTAAAGCTTCATACACACCAGGATGCTGGGATCAGAAACAGGAACAATGACAATTGTTGGTGAGGACCTGGAGGAAGAGGAGTCTGTCCTGCAAATGGGGTGTGACATGGCACAGTACTGCAGACAAACAGTTCAGCTTGAATTGAATATGCTCAAGAGAAACAAAAATTTGCACACACGGAAACCCATGTTCACGGGGAGGGGAAAGGGACACATGAAGGGACTGGGCCCCATTCTGGGAATAAGGCAGGACATTCTGGGAGGAAATATGGGGACTGCCACCCATGGTCACCACAGTTGCTGGTGGCCTTAAAGGAGAGACTGTGGTTCAGAAGGAGTGGACTCAAGTCCTGTGCTCCTGTCAGTGGGGGCTCTTCTCAAACGGTGCTGACCACACGCATCTTGGGGACAAGGGGGCAGCTGTGGCAAAGGGCAGGTGCCCAACGACACGGGAGTGACAAGGGCCATGGTCACATAGGACTTCACTCAACACTGCGCTCCTCCATGCATGGCTGAGCACAGGTACCCACAGGCAGAGCTGACCTGCACTGTCCCTGCCGCCCTTCACTTCTGCGCCAGCCTACAGCTCACATGTATGCCTCAAGGCCCTGCGCCCAGCCCGCCTCCCCGATCAGAACCTCCAGATGTAACAAACTCTCCACAAGGGGAGAGGTGGGACATAGCTTTCCAGATGTATTAATCTCCTTCCACGCCTACCTGGAACCAGCACCCTGACATACACTCAGTCCCCTTCAGTTTTCTTCCCGGAGTTTTAAGACAAGGTCTCGCCAAGCAGCCCTGGATGGTTTTACACCACATGCTCAACTTCAAAGGCAGGAAGCTGTGCCCAGCCTGGGGCACCTGGGGTCACCAGAGCCAATTCTCCCACTCCCAAACCCCTAGGACTTCCAGGCTGGGCACCAGGCAGAGTTCAGTTCTAGAGCCAAAAGGGACCCCACATGGGCACCATCTCAGGGCAGGAGGGAGGGTGGCAAAGCAGGCCCAGGAAGGGTGGCTCAGCAGCAGTTGGGTGAGGCTGGGGAGGAAGCCCCATTCACAAGAGGAGGGCAGAGGGTCCTGGCAGAGGGAAACTGGATAATGCTGGGACAAAGCCAAGGTCAGCGAGGCTGAGGAAGGGGCCAGGCAGGGCTGCCTGGGGGCCGCCAGGTAGACACTAGCATGAGGAGACCTGGTCCATGTGGTAAGATCCCGCTTCCATGGAAGACAGCTTCAGGGTCCTGTGGTCACAATGGGCACGATGACTACCTGCCCATGTCAGTCTCAGCAGCTGGGGCCAAGAGGCCCTGGGCTTTCATCCTGCTCCAGCCCCTGCAGAAAAACCCTGAGACAAGGGACAGTGAGGGACAATGGCTGGCGAAGGGAGGATTGAGGCCAATGGCAGTGCCAAGGGAGGGGAAGGACTCAGGGTCTTCCCCCACACCAGGCTTTGGTCAGGTCTCTGTTTAATCAGCATGGCAGCCCTCATTCACAGGGGCCAAGCACAGGACATGCAACAGCAGGGTGGATGAAAACAGCAGAGATGGTCAGGGAGATGGCTCAGTAGAATAAGCACTTGCCTGGTAAGCGCAAGGGCCTGAGTTCGATCTCTGATTCTGCCCCCCCAAAAAAGAAAAAGAAAATGGTAGAGACAACCAGGTGTGATGATGGTGCTGCCAATCATCCCTATACTCTGGGAGGCTGAGGCAGGAGGATCCCAAGCTCAACCTCAGTGTGGACAATTTAGTGACTTAGTGAGAACCTGTCTCAAAATAAAAGTAAAAAGGTCTGGAGATGAAGCTCAGTGCAGAGACCCTGGGTTTAACCCTCAGTACTGGCCAGGGATGTAGCTCAGCGGCACAATGCCTGCCTGGCAAATGCAAGGTCCTGAGTTTAATTCCCAGAAAAGTACTGAAAAAAAAAAAAAGAAAAAAAAATTAAAAAACAAACCTGTGGAGCATCCTGCAGCATGGCACCATCCTAGTCCTTGGCTCCCTATGGGGCAGGAGACCCTGCAGCTGGGACTCGGAATGGAGACCAAGGCAGGAGCATCGCAGAGGCAAGCACACGCCCATATATCTAGGCCGGGGTCCCTCCCCACATCCCCAGTGAGAGCACAGAAAAAAGCTGCCCCAGATATCATGGTGCCGAGCATCGCTGTGAGAGGGAAGCCAGGGTCAGAAGGAGCCTGGAGGAGGGGAGCAAAGGCTGCAGTGACAGGGCCACCAGCCAGGGAACTCAGTGGCTTCCAGAAGCTGATCAAAACCAGACACAAATCCTCCCTGACGTGACCAGGAGAGTGCCTGGCCAGAGCTCTAAGAACCAGCAGTCTGGGGCCATGGAGATGACACAAGGGTATGGCACACGCCTGGGACACACAAGTGTCCTGCAGCCCTGGGTGTGGGCTGCTGGGACACACTGTGGTCTGACGCTGAGGCGTCACCAGGATCCAGGGCAATGGCAGCATGGGCAGCGGGCACTCTGCCAGCCTCTTCTCCCAGGGTCTTTCTTTTCTCTTGTTTTATTTTTGCAGGGCTGGGGATGAGCAGGGCCTTGCACACACTTGGCAGGTGCTTACCCTGAGCCACAGCCCTCTGCAGAAAGAAAATGTCCTTTTCCATTCTCCTCCTCAGAGTGGTCATTTCTATACTTAAAAACCACAGGACTGCATGCTTCAAATGCATAACTGAGTGGTCCATGACCCACATCTCAGAGCTTGGGGTACTTGAAAAAAATGTTAAAAAACGACAACAACCACTGTTCTCTAGGGTTTTACACACACCTTGGGCCGGCCTGAGGCCCCCCCATGCGAATGCTGTGCAGGCCCTACAGTGGGCATCCCACAGGCCGTACCCCCAGCTCCTCCTCCACCCAACACAGTCCAAGACAAGTGGCAGAGGCAACAGTCAGGCAAGGCTAAGAGAGCACCTGCTCCTCCCGGCTCGGCAGCACTCCTGGGGTCCTGATCACTGCCCACGTGCACATAACCACTGGCTATTGTCCTGCAAAGTGGCTCCTCACCCTGGAATCTTGAATGCCATTTGGCAGGAGACCAAGACAGAGACAGTCAGGCCCCTGTACTGGCACTGCCATAGCCAGCACTGTCCTATCTTGTCCTTCTCCCGAACACCTGCTCACAGAACCCAGGATCAGTGGGTTCTCGCCACCTAAACCCCAGCCTGGACCAAGTCTCCAGGCAGGACTTCAAGAGCAATGAAAAGTATGCAGTGAAAGACAGCCAGGCGACAGCCCCTGGGGTCAAGTGCTGCCTCTGGGCTGAGGAGCCAGCATGCAGACCTGGCCTCTGCCATCAGAGCTGGCCTGGGCTGCTGGCTGGTCAGGACCATGGTCCAGGGGTTTTGGGCTCCAACGATGCAGGTATCGCAGAGACCAGGACAAATCTCCATGAGGAAGCTTCAACAGAAACCTCAGTGTCATGACAGAGAGGGGTGGGTAGCAGTCTTGAAAATCAGTAGTGCTGTGAATACCAACTGCAACACACCCTCTGGGGGTACCACCCACCCAGAGTTCCTGTCCCAGGAGGTGTGGCCGTTCAGGAACACCCTATACTTGTCTCAGTGAGTCCCTGCCACCCGCACACACAAGCCACTGACAAATTTTTCCCAGCCTCTGGGCCCAGCCCCTGCAGAGGTGGCTGGAGAAGCCCTCTACAGCTTGCCTCAGACAGAAGGCTACATAGTGGCACAGTGGCCAGAAGCCTGCCCCAGGCCTCGAAATGGGAGAAGGTCTGGGGCCAAAGTCCATCCTGTTCCACAGGGCTCTACAATCTGACCAAGGATGCTAACTCTGTGACTCCCTGGGCCAATAAGCCTGGCCCCTAGTGCCACCTTGCACCTGGCCAACTCCACACTGGTGCCCATTCCAATAGCAGCACCAGGTGAGAGCCCAGGGGAGCAGAGATGCCAGGGTCACTGGGCCCCAGAAGTGCCAGGCAGCCTGGCTTACTGAGGATGCCATGTGTGGTCCACTGGGCCCCGCAGGGGAGGCCAAAGAGACACAGGCCTCAGGGTCCTGGTCCATTCTCAGCACCCTCATTTCTTTTTCTTTTTTTTTTTTTTAGCACCCTCATTTCACCTTTTATTTTTTAACAAAAGCCACAGGGGTGCCAGGCATGGTGGCACATGGCCAATTAATCCTAGCACTCGGGAGGCTGAGGCAGGAGGACTGCTGGGAGTTCAAAACCAGCCTGGGCTACACAGCAAGACCCTTTCTTAAAAAAGCCTGCGTGGAAATAGTAGCACAGACCCGTAACCCCAGCACTCAGGGTCTGAGGCAGAAAGACCACTCTGAGTTCAAGGGTAGCCTGGATTCTATGAGTTCAAGGTCAGCCTGGACTCCATAGTGAGACCCTGTCTCAAAAAAGAACTAAAAAGGGCTGGTGAGATGGCTCAGTGGTCTAAAGCACCTACTTAGAACAAGCTTGGCCAAAGCACAAGGACCACGGTTCGATCCCCCAGCACCACATGCCAGCCAGCCCCGCCCCCTGGTGGGCTGAGCTGGCCACACACACACACACACACACACACACACACACACAAATAAATAAATAAATGTTTAAAAATAAATAAATAAATAAATAAAAAATGTACCAATGATAAAAAAAAAAGAACTAAAAAACAAAACAAAACAAAATAACATCCTTTTCATAAGAGGGCAGAAAAAAGTATCCAAATCACCCAATGACATCACAGCAGGTTCCTGTCCCCAGCACCGGAGCGCAGGGAGCATCTGCTGCCAAACTGACAGGTGACCAACAGGTGGGCACAGGCAGAGCAAGGATCTAAGAGTGCAGGTCATTGTGTGGCACAGAGGCCTGAGGTTCCTTGCAGGAGGAAGAAACAGTCACCACTAAGCCATCCCATAAGTCTGTGGCAGCCAGAGGGACAGCATAAGCAACACCTGTCTCAGGTGCAACCTAGCTGGATCTACCTGGATCCCAGCAAGGAGTGACACTCAGTAGTCTGAGAAGGGGCAAAGAGACAATGCTCTGAAGAACTTTTCCAAATGCAGGGCCGGGGAGATGGCTCAGCACAATAAGCGCTTCCCTGGCAAGCACAAGGGCCTGAGTTCAATCCCTAGTTCTGAAAAAAAAAAAAAAAAAGACCAAATGTAAAGACAGCCCTCTGGCTGCTGGGTGAGTGAGTGGCCTCTATGGGACCAGGAGCCCCACAGCAGGTGACACATCCAGCACCATTCTCCAGCCCCAGGTAGAAAGAGCAGCTAAAATGGGGCATGGAGCCAGCCCAACCATGGGCAGAGGAGGGAACACACTCAGTGGGACGCACTGCACAAGGGCTGCCACTCAGCCAGGACAGGAGCACAGCTATGACGACCTTGAGGACACCCCACTCAGTGAGACACACCAGATAGAGCACACACAGCATGGGCTCCATGGACAGGAAATGCCCAGGACAGGTGACTCCAGAGACGGGAAGTGGACTTGGAAATCCAGAGCTGGCAGGGGGCAGGTGACTGCTCATGGGACAGACAGGGGGCTTACTTTGAACCAACAAAACCAACTAGAACTAGATGGAGGCAATAGTCACGCAGATCCGTGTGTACACTTGAGCCCAACTGATGTGCTCTGAAGGGCGGGCACCACCCAGGTGAGGGCCATCTCAAGAGAAGTCATGCTTCCCACATCCACAGCAGTCCTTGAGGATGGCCCCACAACAGACACAGGACACTGTCCCCAGGACACTGAGTGCCTCCAAGGTTGTCAGTGCCCCATCTATCCGATCTTTTCTCCTCAGCCTCCCAAGCAGGTGGATGACAAGATGTGCCACCGTTCCTGGCCAGAGGCTACCCGTTTCAAATCTGTGTGCTAAACTGAGGGAGTGTTAGTCAGAGCCAGGACCCAGCATACGTGAGGCCTTGGTTTCCCTCCCAGTAGCAAAACCAAGCAATAAGATAGCTCTACCCTTGGCTTCTTGGTGGAGACAAGAGGAAGAACCACGCCTGGCCGCCTGGCCACGGCTGTGGCTATGAAAGTGGCTCTCACCAATAGAGCAGGACAGGCTCAGGCCAACCCGGGCCTACAGATTGCATCCCTGCCGTGCAGCCACAGAAGCTAGGCAGACAGGACCTGAGTGCTCTGCTGCAAGGACAGCATCACTGGCTCTGGCCCAGCACTGAAGGACACCACAGGTCCCAGCCCAGGCTGGGCAATTTAGTGAGACCCTTTCTCAAAATAAAAACTCAAAAGGGCTGGGGATGGAGGAGTTCAGTGGTAGCATGTCCCTGGATTCAACCCCCAATGCTTAGAAAACGATGACTGAGCAGACACTCCACCAATGTTGAACCTTAATGCTGTCCAGCAGCAGCAATGGTGGTGCAGGCCTAGGGCCCCACCTGCTGGGAGGCTGATGTGGAAGATTCCAAGTGTGAGCCCCACCTGGGCAACTTAGTGAGTTGGCAAAATCCTGTCTCAAATAAAAAATAATGAAAAGATTGGGGATGGAGCTTAGTTTGAAGGCCCTCAGCTCCATCCCCAGCACTGCAAAAAAAAACCCAAAAATAAGTCAAAAACTTGACAGGGTATAGCTCATCGGTGTCCGGCCTACCTGGCAAGCGTGAGGTCCCTGAGTTCAATTCCTAATACCAAAAAACCAAAACAAACCCAAGAAACCCGGACACATCATTCCAAAAATATGTAGTTTTTCTTAAAAAGGCATCTCCAAAACAGCCTTACACCATTAGCGCCCACCCACTGTCCTGTCCTGCTTCCTGCCAAGGTGAATGTGCCCTGCAAGCCTGAGAATGTGGTGACCCCACAGGCCCAGTGCTCAGGATACAGATGTGCATGCCCATGTGTCTTCACACCCCTATTCCCCCCTGAGGTCTGCAGGATGCAGAGAGTCCCGGGACCATCACAAGGAAGACAGGAATCTGGATGCCAGGGGCCAGCACATTGCCTCGCTCCCAAGATATCATGGAACAATCTCTAAAAGAAACCCCTGTGCCTGGAACACCCATGTGCAGAGCCCCCCCAGGAGTTAGGGCAACGCGAGCACCTCTCCCAGAGTGCAGGGCCGGCGCGGCACTCACCTCCCAGTGCCAGGTGTGTTCCGGGGGCAGAGGCTGCTGGGCGACGGGCGCTGCAGTAACTGGCTGGGATTTCCGCCGGCTCCTCCTGCAGCAGTGGCTCCTCCCACAGCAGTGGCTCCTACAAAGTACAAATGAAGCCACCGTCAGACTCTGGCACGTTCCAACTTCCTCAGCGACACTCCTAGCAGGGGTGTGTGCCAGCTACATGAGCCTTTGCTTTTCTTCTTTATTTCTGAGATGGGATCTCACTAAGTTGCCTCAAACTTGGGATCCTCCTGCCTCACCTTCCCAGAGAGCTGGGATTCATCCTGAACCACCTTGCCCAGCTTCACAGGAGGGTTGGGATTACATGAATTTGACAAACACCTTTAGAACATGCAATATCCTTTGTTGTTTTCTTATTTTAATCTGGGTTTTTCAAAATTGTTGGGCAGGGCCCACCCCTTTCATTTCAGTGTTTTTTAAAAGGCAACACTCCTAGTTGGAGATGGAATAGGAGCACGGCCTGCACCTTCTTCCTCAGGACTGGGGTGACTGCCCAGCACCTCACAGAGGGTGCCTTGTGCCCTCCCACCATGCAGTGCGAAGCTGTTCTGCACCACAGCCCAGCCAGCACCAGACACAGCCCACACTGAAGTCTGGGCCATGAGTGCCCTGAAATCCCTTGACATAAGTGACTTGGCCCAGGAGTCTCCACCCTGCCCCCAGGACCTGTGGCTCTGTCCTCTTCCATGGGAAATCTGCAGATGAGACTAAGAACTGCCTAGTTTGGCAACACACACTAGCCTCAGATACTAAAAAGGCTGAGGCAGGAAGGTCAAAAATTTAAGGCCAGCTTGGTCAACTCAGTGAGATACTGACTCAAAACAAAAAATGACTAAAAAGGTTGCTTAGCATAAAGACCCCGGGTGGACCCTGGGTTACACCCCCAGTACAAAAATATAAACAAACAAACCTGTCTAGGTGAGCCAGGCACAGCAGCCCAGGCCTGCATCCCAGTACTCTGGGAGGCTAAGGCAGGAGAATCCCAAGTTAGCAATTTAGTGAAACTGTGTCTCTAAAGAAATAAATAAAATTTTTAAATGGGGTAGGGATGCAGCTCAGGGCAAAGTATCCAGGTTCAATCCCCAGGATATAGTACCACTAAAATAAATAAATAAATAAATAAATAAATAAATAAATAAATAAATAAATAAACAAACCTACCAAGTTTTCAAAAGCATGGTAAGCCTGAGAATATCCCAGCTCAGAGGAACCTGCAGAGAGGTGACAACTGTGTTCTATGAGATACAGGATGGGGCTGGGACAGAGTAGGATTCAAGAGATAAACAGGAAATAGGAATAAAGCACAGATTCTGGTGAATCACCGTCAGTCCTGAGCTGCAGAGGCACCACGGGAAGGTGAGCAATGCACACAGGAAACAGGGCAAGCAGTGTGGACGGCTGTCCTGTGCCTGCGTCTCCAAGCACCTGAGACTGCTCCTCACATAAGCCTGCTCGATCAGGGGCGGAGCAATAGAGAAGGCCACGTCCTGTGCCCAGCCAGTCTGCTGACCAAATCTGGGGCACTGTGAATAAGCTGGCATGAGAGTCAGGGTCACCCTCCAGAGCCTCCCTTCAGGGCACAACCCAGACACCCCGAGTGGCAGTGTGACATGAGCAGATGCCAGGTTTGTGCCCACACCTTGCTCCCCTTGCTCCTCCACATGAGGACAGCGAGTGGCCAGGGACAGGCAAGGGTCTAGCTCTGCAACTGCACAGCGGCGCAGGCACTGCTACTTGCAGGGGGCATCTAGGGACCCTGGGCCCTCAACCCATCTCGAGGGAGCAGAAGTACTGCTGGCCTGGGACTGCCAGGTCTGACCCCAGGAAGGGGCTGGGTGTGGCTGGTTCCAGGACAGTCACCTGGGAAAGGTCCCCACCTGCACAGTCACTACCCAGAGGCCTATCCCTACCGTTCCTCCTGGGCCACAGCCAGAAGTCACCTTCAGAAGGGACACTGTTTCCTGACCCCACCCACACCCTGGCTCACAAGAATAATGATCCCTCCAACAGGGGATGCATGTGCTTCGTGCAGGGTGGGGAGGCCACCCAAAGCCTGGGAAGAGACAAGACCCCAACACGGCACCACCCTGTGTGCAAGAGCACAGCAGCTCCAAGAAGGTCCTATGCCCTCATGCCACAGGCATGGTCACACAGGTGCTGGGGACAGGCCCTGGAGCTGTGACACCTACAGCAGCACAGTCTCTGGATTAGGGTGTCTAAGTGCCATCTCTACCACCAGGAGCCAGGTCAAGGCTGGGGCAGAGGACACACAGAGGAGCCCAGGCACTGGGCGCAGGAGACAGTGGGGCATGCAGAAGGGACACAGGAGGAAGCCCCAGGGGAGGGCTCTCACAACAAAATCAATGCCATGAGCTGGCTAGTGCCTCAGAGCAAGCTGGGCACTATGCCTCAGTCTTGTCACTCCAGCACTCTGGAAGCGTGTGACAGAAGGATCATAAGTTCAAGCCCAGCCTGGGCAACTTTGCAACTTAGAGACTTCAGCTTAAAATAGAAAGGGCTGGGATGTGGCTCAGTGAAAATGCCCTGGGCTCCATCCCTAAGACTGAAGCAAACAAGAGAAAAAAGATGGAAACAGCCCAGGAAGCAGAAGGTGACTGGTAAAGGACTAGAATCCAGAATAGATAAGAGTTCTCATCGCTCAGGAGCTAAAGGAAATCACAGACTCAGGATCAGACAGGCGAGTGGCCAACAAGCATGTGAAAGGACACCAAGGGCTGGGAGATGGCTCAGTGGAATAAGTGCTCCCCTGGCAAGCACAAGGGCCTGAGTTCAATCCCCGATTCCACACAAAAAAAGAAAGGACACCAAAGTCAGCAATGGCATAAAGGAACAGGAAAGAGGCCAAACCCCTGGCCTCCGAAGGGAGCCCACTCCTGAGCCCCTCTACCTGGATAGCTATGGGGGTCGGATGGGAGAAGAGGGCCCCCAGGGTGCCAGGCCTCAGCAAAGCCCTATACCAGAGGACAAGGTGACCAAGGAAAGCCATGCAGCTGTCACACTCCTAATGATGGTGGGGGGGGGGTTGCTTCACGGTCCTCCCCATGGCTCCGCCTCCCAGGCTGTCCCCACCCAGGTCCTAGTTCCAGCCTGCATCCTGTGACTTGGCTTGCAGGAAGTGGCCAGCTGTTCTTGCTTTGTGTGGGTCACCATTCCGGAAATGCCTGCCACACCAGGCACATCCCTGAGGCTATGGGAGTCAGCACTGTCACCTCCTAAGTCAACCAGAGGGCAAAGCTGGTGGCACAAGACATGCAGTGGGCAGTGAGATGGCCATGCTCCAGGGTAGGTGCTGTGAGGCAGGGCAAAGACGCAAGTCACGAGAGCAGAGGGACCAAGTGGGCCTGGACCACAGGCATCAGAGGAGGCACCAAGGCAAAGCTGGGCCAGGCTTTGGGAGCAGCAGGATACATGGATAGGAAGAGGCTAGCCTCGAATAGATAGACTGGCCCTCTAGACCCCTCAAAGTCACCTGTCCCCTACTCTGTGCTTCGCCCTGAGAACATACCTAGTGCCCCTTCCCACACAAACTGCCTCTGCTGGGACACTCAGAAGAAGCGCGCATATGCTGCAGCCCACAGGAAACCCACAAGGGCACAGCAGAGTCATACAGAGCCCTTTAGGGAGAACAGTGGACCCTGGGGACAGGCATCGGCAGGAGGGGGACGTCTGGAATTGGAGCCCAGCACCCTCAGAGCCTGTGTGTGTAACCAGATGGCACTGCTAAGCACCATGGGAAGGACAGCCTCGTCCCTCCATACTGCTGGACAGGAAGTGGCGCAGTGGAAAGAGGCAGGTCCTGACCCAGGAGGCTCCCAGAACAAACCCAATGCCTAGGGCTCAAGAGATACGGGCGAGGAAAGAGGCTCTGAGCTCCAGAAGGAAGCCCAGGACGCCCCTGCCTCGTGGCCCAGAATTCCTGTGTGGGTGGAGTGTGCGAAGGGATTTGGGGAGATGGGACAGGGACTGGGAGGTCAAGGGCAAGGCCCAGGTGTCTTGGTCGTAGGTGAGGAGAACCCCAGCCGGTGCAGGCTCTGTGGGCCATGGATGTCCTCCCCACACCACTGCACAGCACGAGGACCCAGGACCCTCCGCTCTCTGCACATCAGCCCAGGTGCAGGGGCTGTTACAGCAATGGAAAGAGCCTGGGACATGAAGGGTGTCACAGCCAGAGGTGAGGAAAGGAACAGCCATCCATAGGACTGTACTGGAAAGCAAGGAAGGCAGGGAGGGAGGAGGGAGAAGGGGAGGAAGGGAGGAGGGGAAAGATCATCTTGTAGGCAAAAAACACCAACAGAGCCCAATGTCCCCTGAGTGACTAAGGATAACACCTGCAAGCACATCACCCAAGCACAACCCCCCCCCCACAGAAAGCTGTAAGATCCCGGGGAGGTCAGAGTCCCACAGAAAGTGGGCATGAGGCAGACACAGACACCAGTGCAGGGTCACAGGATGGCTTGTTCACTGGCTTTGGTCACAACCAGGTGCTCAGCCCACTCACTCCCCACAACACCATCCCACCTGCAGAGGGCCCCCTTCCTGCACACTCCCAGGCCTGGGCATGACTTTGGCTGGCATTGCAGGGAAGCACAGGGGCCCGTTGAGCCCAGGCAGGGGTCTGGAAGCACAGCGCTTCTCTGGACCCCAAAATCATGCTGGCTGGTAGAAACCTGCACTGCAGATGCACTTCCAGAAGCACTTCCTTGAGGTGAAAACCTACATACCAACCCCAGTGCAGTGTGGCCTCGCCATGGGCAGAAGCAATAAAACTGCCCTGGGGCTGGAGAGATGGCTCAGTGGTCTAAGGCATCTACTTGGAACAAGCTTGGCAAAGCACAGGGACCGTGGTTCAATCCCCCAGCACCACATGCCAGCCAGCCGCGCCCCCTGGTGGGCTGAGCTGGCCACACACACACACACACAGACACACACACACACACACTAAATGTTAAAATAAAATAAAAAAAAAATTAAAAAAAAAATAAAACTGCCCTGCTGGAGAGAACCCAGCACTTGGGGCTGTCAGCAGGCCAGGAG